AGCCAATTTGGCTCGCCCGAGCAAGCAAGGCAAGCCTTACTCAGCCAGGCCAGGCATTTGGATGTCTGCATAATTGCTTGGGATGCAAAAGCAGCTTGGGAGTCTAACTCCCGGGAAACGAAAATGAAACCCATTTCTACATAGCCAGGCTCCCATGATACATCATATTAATAAGCAAATATGATATTAATAAATAATCAGCATGTTTTAAGATATCTTAATATATTTTAAAGTAGATTAAGACTTAACATGATGAAATTAACTAGTACATAGTCGATTCAAACAAATAGATATTATTTTGATCAAAGTTCAAGAAGGCGTTAGGCGCTCTTTAGGCAGTGACCCATAGCCTAGCGTCTAGGCGGGCCTAGGCGGGCCTAGACGTTTTAAGGTGTTTTCCTAGACGGTAGCTAATACATGCATAAATACTTAAAAGAAAAAGAAAGAATAGCAGATCAGTGGTGGAAAAATAAGAAAAAGCTCAATAACGGCCCAAGTCTCCCAAGTCTAGTCCAAGTCTTATCCTATCTCCTCCCAGCCTCTATTCCCGTCTCTCTCCCTCCCAGCCTCTGCTCGCGCTCGCCCGTCGCTCGCCCATGCCGCTGCCATCTCCTGATGCCCCGATGTCGCCTCCTTCCCACCGGTTGTCGCCGCCGCCGCTGACGTTACCTCCTTCCCCCACCGCCGCCTGACGTCTGCGTCGCCCCCACTCGTCCCTGCTTTTGGCGGATCTGCCCACTGCCACCGCCTGACGCCGCCTCTTCCCCCACCGTCTGCCACTGCCTCACCTTAGCTCCTCCCCCATCGTCTCCCGACCTCCGCGCTGCCCCCACAAGTCCCTGCCTTGGCGGATCTGGCCGCCTTTCGCCGGCAACAGTTGGGCAGCCACCTAGGTACCCGCCTACCCCCCTAAGCGAGGCGGTACCCCATCGCCCAGCGCGTAAGCGCGTCAAGGCTGGCCTAGCGTCGCTTTTTTGAACATTGATTTTGATACTTGTTTTTTTCATTTTGAATTTAATATATGATGTATCCTAGTACAGCCAATCAAACAAACGTTATACTTAGCATGTTTTTTTTTCTTTCTAGAATACAATGAACCAAACAAGAGGAATTGCATCTCTTGGGCCTATCCCTGATTAGCCTGGCTGGTACGGGCGTCCTCAACGGCAGCTAGCAAATCGCTAGCGATGTGGAGGTGAAAAAGAGTATAAAAAGAGAAAAATACCAGTTGTACATCAGGATGAGAGAGAGAGCGTATAGTGTCAGAGACTGTAAAATTGTTGGAGTCCGTGCGAGCCTACCGCTTCGGCAGTCGCTAGCGAGTTCGTATTCTCGTCCACGTGGAATAAAAAAGAATATTTGCTGGCGACGTCGCCCACCGTTGCGGGCGCCCTACGGAGTATATGCGAGTCAGGCTCCGTTGAGCAGGGAACAAACAGGCTATAAAAACAAAACTGCTGCCATTCGTAGAAAAGAGATGCGGTCTAACAAAAGAAGAGGAAAATAATAACACTCTAAGCCCTTGTTTAGTTTCACCTTAACTTCCAAAAATTTGCTACCGTATCTGTCACATCGAATGTTTGCGGCTCGAAGCATTAAATCTAGACGAAAAGAAAAACTAATTACACAGTTTGGTGGAAAATTGCGAGACAAACGTTTTGAGCCTAATTAGTCCATGTTTAAACACTATTTGCCAAATAAAAACGAACGTGCTACAGGAACCCTAAAATCCAAATTCCTACCACCTGTTTGGTACGGCTACAAGAGGCTTCGGCCCACACTGTTCACACGCTGTAGCATGTCAGAACCAGAGCCGGAGGAGCCCGAAATTCGAGCTTCACTGGCTCCGTGAACAGTAACCGCACTACAGTGAGAGGGAAAAGGTGGGGAGAGAAAAACAGCTCCGCTGCTACAGTGATGCTACAGTGTTCGTCGCAGGGTGTCAGCCGGAGCCGGAGCTACCGGGAGCCCGGCCAAACAAGTCCTAAACAGCCTCTAAGTAACAACGATGTCTGATTAAAAGGACAAGTAATTTTGCTTGCAGCAGGAACCTGCTGCTGCGCTGCTTGATCAAGGACTAGCTCAGCTACAAGGAACTCACGGAGTCACGGTAGCCACTGCCCACTGGCCAAGGATCGGGCAGCCAGCTCCATTCCATCAATCCTAATGACCGATATGATATGAGCCAAACAGCATGACAAGAGATAGTCTCGAGGTTATCCCATGATAGCAGATCCCAAATACGCGTAGCAGTTACAGAATATGTACATGCATGCACTGCGGCTGTTACGGCGTGTTTGGTTTATACCTCATAAAATTTAGTCATCTAAATCAGCTCTTAAAATTTAGTCATCTCTTGTTTGGTTTGATGGACTAAAAAAGACTCAAAGAGACCTTTTAGTCCATTTTAGTTATGATGTTTGGATCCAAAGTAACTAAAAGGTGAGACAACCTGACTAAAAAGGGGGAGGGGGGCTTTAGTCACATTTAGCAACATTTGGGTGACTAGTTGGCTAATACACTTTTTAGTCCAATTTAGATGGTGTTTGATTCAGAGATTAAAGTTTAAGAGGTATCACATGGATGTTACGTTGAGTGTTCGGATAGTAATAATAAAACAAATTATAGAAGTCATCAATAATCCACGAGACGAATTTATTAAGCCTAATTAATCGTCATTAATACATGTTTAATGTAACACCACATTGTGAAATCATAGACTAATTAGACTTAATAGATTCGTCTCGCAAATTAGTCTCAATCTATGTATTTAGTTTCGTAATTAGTCTATATTTAATACTCTAAATTAGTGTCAAATGTCCGATGTGATAGAGACTTAAAATTAGAAGGGAAACCAAACACACTTTTAGGTGCTGTTTAGTTCTCAAAATTTTGCAAAATTTTTCAAGATTCCCCATCACATCGAATCTTTAGACGCATGTATAAAGCATTAAATATAAATAAAAAATAAAACTAATTACACAGTTTAGACGAAATTCATGAGACGAATCTTTTAAGCCTAATTAGACTATGATTTGACACTAATTGTTAAATAACAATGAAAGTGCTACAGTACCATTTTCTAAAAAAATTTCGCCAACTAAACAAGGCCTTAGTCGTAGCGTTTGGGTAAAAGTAACTAAATAGGATGAAATGAGAGTAGATTTAGGAGGTGAGGAGTGAAGCAAACGTAACCAAGGCAGAACATCTAAAAGAGTTAAGAAACGTCCAATCCTCAGATAACTGTTGCCCTGCGGCTGTTAACCTAGGAAGAACTGAAAGAGTTAACAGACGTCCAATTCTCAGATATCCAGAATCACTGGAAGATATGCAAACGAATAACCTATCCTATTGGGCACTTTTTTTTTTGTGCCTACCCCGAATTAGGAAAAACAGGACATATTCTCTGCCGAAAGAAGGGGACCTCACAATGCCACTCATCCAATTCATCCGCTGGAAGACTGCGAGTCTCTCCTGACCATTCAAAACTTGCGTCCTGCAGTTCAGTTCACCTTACAAATGGGCCCATGGATTTGGAAGAGTACTTCAACAGATGAGCATGAGCAACATCACATAGGAGTATAGGACATAGTAGCTGATAGCTCACGTTCACAAGAAGACATGGATACATCCATATATTCAGAGAAACAATACAAAGCCCTGACCCCAATTTCTAAAAAGCTCACGTTCGAAAAAAAAAAACTAAGAAGACATGGATACGAATCCATTATTCCATGTTTGAACACTATTTGCCAAATTAAAACGAACGTGCTACAGTAACCCAAAATCCAAATTCCTACCACTAAACACAGCCAAAGATGACCATCATCACGAAAGCACACGTCTCGATCGAAACAGAAGATAGGGTCAGAGCATCCATAAGGAGTAGGGCAAAGATTTCAAGGACCAAATCTGAACATGTCAAATGTACTCCAACAGAAAACCAGCTTTGAGTCAACATATTATACTACACAGAAGACCGCAATACATCAGATGAGCAGCAACCCTGCCAAATCCGTGTTTGTTTTGGCCAGTATTAAATCATAAACAAGGATCATGTCGACATCACAACATTCTGCTTATCTTTGAGTGCCTTCTTCTTGAATGCAAATCAACATCTAAACAAGGACTGTCATCGGAAGACAGGCAATTGGTATGAAGCATGCAGTATTGCAGTCACAGGCCTGATTACAATGTGTAGGGTATCATACCACTAGTGCTAGTCTAGTGCAGTAAGGTTCTAGGAATTTCCTTGTTTGCCTTGGCACATTAAGAAATTTTTGAAAATATATGTAGCGTATACTATTTGCTGTCCAATTCAACAAGACCTTGGAGGAGGCACTTCACTAGTGATTGAGGTTGGCACATTTTATGGACAGCCCAACTCTAGAAAAAGGATCAGAAACCCTGATTCTAAAGAAGTGATGCAAAGTTTGCAACTAAGAATTTTGAAATTTTTCATGTACCCAATCTGGAGCAAACAGGAACTCCGGATGAAAGTAAAAAGCTAGGAAATTGCATTCCTAAACTTTGACTCACTTATACACATCAGCAGCCTAGGACTAAATACAGTTACTATCAGCTAGCACAACGCCACTAATATAGATCAAACTAAACTCTGAATGTGCATTTGCCATATCCAAAACCGGCCCATTATTAGTGATAGACACTCAACCAAATATGGAACTTATGCAAGTCCAGGAAGGTGAGAACGACCTCTGAAGAAACTCAAAACAGCAGCAGATTAAACCTGAATTTGTGAAAAGGTAAACATGTACCACTGATATAATTTTCTTGTCATTCATTGTCGTCGTCGTCATATAGCAATACAATAGATTAGATCAAACTCACAATGGCAGTTCGACCAGTGTCTAAACCTTGTAACATCAAAATTCAGATGGATGAATGCAATTGCAAAGACAAAAATGCTATGCCCAAAATTTAGTCCAGATTCTATAGTAATAGTAAGCATGCAGAATATAGAGCCACTCCCTTTCTCGTTAGTCTTCGAAGGCAGACGCCAGCTCTGGGACCGGCTCCGGCACGGTAGGCAGCACCGGGTAGTTCCGTGAGAAGCAGGCATCACATAACTCATGTGCTTCATTGCCGTAGATGCTGTGGAGCTTTTCGAGCGAGAGGAAGGCAAGCGAGTCGCAGCCAATGGTCCTCCTCACACCCTCGAGGTCCATCCTGTTGGATATCAGCTCGCCTTCGCTCGGCGTGTCAATGCCGTAGAGGCAGGACCCGACGACCGGGGGGCTGGAGATGCGCATGTGCACTTCACGCGCCCCGGCATCGCGGAGCAGGCGCACAATCTTGCTCGAGGTGGTGCCGCGCACGAGCGAGTCGTCGACGACGACCACGCTCTTGCCGGTAATGACGCCGCGTACGGGCGCGAGTTTGAGCTTGACGGCGAGGTCACGGATTGCCTGCGATGGCTGGATGAAGCTGCGGCCGCTGTAGTGCCACCGGATAAGGCCTTGCTGGAACTCGAGCCCCGACGCCTGCGCGAAGCCGAGCGCGGCATAGAACCCCGAGTCAGGCACGGGGATGACGACGTCCGCGGTCGGGGCGGGCGACTCCTCGGCGAGCGCGCGGCCGTATGCGCTGCGGCGTTCGTGGACGGCGTGCCCAAACACGACGGAGTTGGGAAGGGCGAAGTAGATGTGCTCGAACACGCATGACTTGCGCGGGCGATGCGGGACGAGGCAGGCGTAGGACACCGACATGTCGCGGCGGTCCACGACCACCACCTCCCCGGGCTCCACCTCGCGCTCATAGGTGGCGTCGATGAGGTCGAGCGCGCAGGTCTCCGACGAGAACACCACGGCGCCGTTGGGGCGGCGGCCCATAACCAGGGGCCGGAAGCCGAACGGGTCGCGCACGGCAAAGAGCTTGTCGGCCGTCAGGAACAGCAGCGAGTACGCGCCGGCGAGGCGCTCGCAGGCGTCGCAGACGCGCGAGAGCAGCGGGCGCGAGAGCGAAGTTGAGATGAGGTGCAGGATGACCTCCGTGTCTGACGAGGTGTTGAAGATGGAACCCTGCGCCTCCAGCTTGTTGCGCAGCGCCTGGTAGTTCACGAGGTTGCCGTTGTGCGCCACAGCCAGCTGCCCAAACCTGTACGCGGCGAGGAACGGCTGCACGTTGCGCCTGGAAGAGGCGCCGGCCGTTGAGTAGCGCACGTGGCCGATGGCGGCGTTTCCGGGGAGCTTGGCGAGGCGCACCGGGTCGCGGAAAACGTCCCCGACGAGACCCAGGTCCGTCACTGAATTGAGCTTGCCGTCGGCGTCCGAAGCAACGATGCCCGCGCCCTCCTCCCCGCGGTGCTGCAGCTTCTGCAGGCCGAGGTAGCAGAGCGACGACGCGTCCGGGTCGCCAATGACTCCGAACACGCCGCACTCCTCTCGGGGATGGTCGTCGCCGTCCGCGTCGAAGGAAAACGGCGTGACGCGGTCAGGGAGCAGAGCTCGCGCGGGAGTGATACGCGCAGAGCGGTGCCGCAGCTCGAACAGCGAGGGCTTGGTGGAGCACCTGAGCTGGTAGTGGTGGCTTGTGGTCGGCGCCGCAGCGGCGCGGCGGAGGAGGGGGGAGGAAGGCGTGGAGGTCGTGGCGGCGGTGGCGGCGGCCATGCGTGGTGCGCGGCGGTATGGGAGTTTGGGCCTTTGGGGCAGGTGAGGGCTTTCGAGGATGCCCTCCCGAACGCACGTGAAGGGGCAGGATTTAAGCAGGCGGGCGGGCGTGTGGATCTGTATTTCGAGTTTCAGTCCTGGGCTGTTAAAAAAAATACACGTGGATTAAATGTGAATCGGTACGAGCTGATTTAGATGTGAGTCAGAATCGACTATTTTATGAATAACGTCAGCAGACAACGTTAATGGACTATACTTGAGTGGCGTCAGAAAGATATGTCGGACTCTACAGATAATGAGAATTGGGGTTCAGGTTATTATTAAGTTAAAAACTTTTCTTTTATTTCAAGAATTATAATGAGTCGTATTTGAGTACGATTCATATTTAGGTTCGGGTATAAATATTAGACCCTGGTTATTATGAAAAAAGGACACTCAATCAATATAATCTTTATGGCTTTCATCATCGTATTAGTAGTAGAAGTACTGTAGATCTCGACGAGTTATTTAGTAAACAGGGCTGCATCGATTGATCGATCTCTAGCTTGCTTGTGAGTATCCGTCACGACTTATATTGTACTTTTAAAGCTGTATCAGCTGATTGATCTTTTATGAGTCATAATATAAGTTAGTTATCGATCTGTATCGTAGTTTGTAAGGCTGCATTAGCTGATTGATCCTTTACGAATCATAATATAGATCAAAGTTATCGATCTTGTGTTAAGTAACATGTTATTTAATACAATATCACCGGTTATCTAATCTGCTAAGATTAGTAAGATTTTTCTTGCTTGTTTTGATTGATTCACCAGTTATCGATGTTACTATAATTGATGTTTTATTAATTATAACAAAATCATTTGATTGAGATAGAGATAGATCGGCATCATGTCATCTTAATTGGTCGTTCTTTGATCTGGTCATGCTTCAAATCTTATAATTGATGGTTTAATTCCGCCAAATTGGTTGTTTTTATATATATTCTAGTCAAACATAGTATACATCCAAAGATATGTTTCAATCTTAAATAAACTCACTAATTAATGAGATCTAATCCAATGACACTACTATAGCTGCATTGATCCGATCGAACCTCACTGGTAAGACTTTAGATTAGAAATTATCGATTAGTGGTCTTATTCATGATAAGATATGTACTCTGTTTGTTTGCTATGAATGCATCGGTTATTTTAGCCGATTTGCATATACTCACGCATATAACATGTTTTCATGAATCTGTCAATATATAGATGGTTTTATAGATTATTTGGCTTTAGTTTATTATCATTATCATAGCTGCATCGATCCGATCGAACCTCACTAATGATGATAATAGATTAGACTCAAAACTGTTTGTGGATTCATTTATATTAGACAGTCGATTTGTTCGCATGTTATACTCTTTTCATCAGACCTATCGCTCGACGCTTTATATCGATTATGTTCCATTTAGCCGATGATGCTTTCTAATGTTTCATGAGCATTGGTTATTTTGATTCATATCATTATTGTTTAATATTAGCCGATAATCCTTAATTTAAAGATCTTCATTTCATGGATACGCTAGATATCGACTATTTAGTCGATAGCCTTATTGATCCGGCTATCTAGCCGTACATTTGGAACTGTTTGGTGCAACATCGATATGTTCCACTTTAAATTACTGATAAGATTTTCTCTCCTTGTCAATTACAGATCAAATTGACTGGCACATCATTGGGTTTTCAGAATCGGCTAGTTCTGTATTAAAGCAAAGCAGATCTCTAGATCTTGTTCCACTCAGATCTTCTAGCTTATTGTGTGTTGATCACATCGTCACATTTTTATGTCAACAACTTTATAGTCTGATTTTTTTTTATTGAAGTTTGAATTCAGACTATGGCCCCGTTCGGCTTACCTTATAATCCGCACTATTCAGCTTTTTTTTTAGTCGGAACAATGTTTTTCTCTCACAACAATTCAGTTAGAACAATGTTTTTCAGCCAATTCAGCCAAGTTTCGGTAAGCCAAACGGGCCCATACTTAAAATTTATTAGTAGAGCGTTGTGTTGATTTCGTTCTTTATTGCTTGTTTAAAACTTTTCTAATTTATATCAAGGAAAAAAGTGAAGTGGGCAATTCTCCTATCTGAATAAGAATTTCATGAAAATTCAAATACAATATTGTGTGTGTATATATGTGTAAGATATGGAACTAGTAAAATTTAGTGTATATTGATTACACGCAGATTTTATGTACATTATCCTATGTTTATAATATGGTATCCAACAATATGGCATGCACTCAGATTTGGTTTCACTCTCGTCGTCTTGTCTTGTTTATTAGGGTTTATTTGATCCCTACAACTAATAGTAGCTGCTAAAAATTATATGAAGCAACTAATAAGTTTAACTAATGTCCTACCTACCACCTAGCTAACAATTAGTAACTATTATTTGGTTTCTCCTAGTTAGAGCATCTTCAGTAGTTAAAAAAGGAATTGGTAAATCAATGAGTTTTCCAAGTTGTAAAAAGTTGGGAGTATATTTGTTTGGTTGCTCCAATAGTTTTCAAAATCTCATTCTTAAGATATAGAAGAAATTTCGGATCAAGAATCTCGAATTATTTCTAAATCACCTCAACTACTTTTATACTTTCTTTCTCGCTTATATTTGCATTATGAACCATATCCTACTCCTTATTCTTTCCATGTTCTTCCACCTCCAGATTAGCCTATTGTCTCAAAAAAATTAATTGATTGGTACGTGCGCATACATTTTTGTGCGATTTGATCGATTTTTGAAAGTGCGAAAAGATTGGGAGTAGAGATAAGGAGTCGTTGGAGAGTAATTTTTTAATGTTGCCAAAATATCTAGATTGGGAGTGGGTTTTGGAAATTCTTGGAGATATTAACACATCTAATAATTAGTTGAGTGGATCCAACAAGGCCTCACACCAGCAACATACGGAGTAGTGTTGTATAGGGTGATCGTTTGAACTTATCAGCCGGCTTATCAGCTAAAATCTATAGTATTTTTCTCTCATAACAAAATAGCTTAGCCGAGCTTATCATTCGGCTTTAATACCAATCAAACATGCCCGTAATGTTGTACATGGAAAGCATTTTGGACCAACATTATGGATGTGCACATGCAAAAAATCTTTTCGCTGAAACAAATGGAAACTCATTTATACGACACAAAATACAGAATGAGGATTACTAGAGAACCGCATGACTAATATAGCTTTCTCATTAGGATCACATGATTCGTGTTGATTTGCTAAAGTTGAAGGTCAAGGATTATTCAGAAAACCAATACTCCAGCAGTGTGAGCGTCTCAATTTATTAAGCCTAATTAATTATCATTAGCGCATGTTAGCTCTGTAGCACTTATGGCTAATCATGGATTATAAGTTAGAATAGTATTTTTCTCTCACGATTTCAAACCAAGCTAGCAATAAATAATCCACGATCTATATTTACTACCCATCTAGTTTGCTCAAGATTCGACTGTTTAGTTTGCAAAAATTTTTGGAAACTAAACCAGTCTAATATAGCATTTCATTACGAAGCCAAATAGAAAAGTCTAGGATCATAATTGTGTTGATTTAATTAAGTTGAAGGTCAAAGTTTATTCGTAAAATTTTTCTCACCTAAGCGTCTAATTATGTTTTTTTCGCTCACGTTAGATCTCCATCGTAGATTGCGTGTCTTAATAATATTCGATGTGATGGATACTGCACAAAATTTTTTGGCTTTTGGGTGGAACTAAACATGCCAACTCAGACTAAGTGAGCATTGTTCAACAAGGTACAGCTACTAGTACATGAGAATCACAGATTAAAATTAAATCATTTTCAAATCCAAAATATATTTGCTAATGTAATAAGTAAATAAAAATGATCTCAAAACACGGTATTAAAATGTCATGTACGAAGCCGGTACGATAAAACCGAGAAAAATGACTTAAAATTTTCTCTTAGCTTGGTGGCTGCTTCTCAAGGTTTCAACTTTCAACGTGACAAAACCCAAGCAGACGCCGCGCTTGAAGAAAATCAAACTGACTTTTGGCTTTTTGAGTCCATCTGCGTACGTACTGCCAATATTGGCCACAAAGGACGCAGCCACTGGAGATCCTGACCCCCCGCGATTCCATGAGCGCTGACGACTGGTGTAGGAGGAGTCGCATTTCTTTTCCTTGTGTGAAGCCGCCTTCACGCTTTCCAATTCCGGATGGCTACTCCTGTGGTGGCCGGTGGGCTCGAGGAGGCAGGCCCACCTAGGCCGACTTGACTTGGGCCCACCACTGAGCCGTACAGGAAGCAGGTCTGCAGCCTGCAGGTGGTCCCCAGCCAAGTGGACGTGTTGGGCCATGGTGCTGCTTTCATCACAGAAAAAATAAAGCCGGGTCCCGCCGACGCCGATCATACCAGTCGGTTTCCTGCGGATGATGATAGGTCAAGCAGGATACGGCCCACAAAAGCGTAGAATGGCTAGACTACTCACTACGGCCTACGGAGTACGGCCCTAGTCCGTGTGTACAGGGCTACACTGTACGTACACCTGTAACGGTGGAAGGGATCCTCAAAAAAAAAAAAAAAAACTGTAACGGCGGAAGAACTAGCTTCGCCATCCATCCCAAGTCAGGAATCGTTCTCCGCTCCGTCCTGAAAGGGCATCAGCCGCAGCTGTGTGGATAACACTAGAGTTTCGTGGCTGGAGCAACGTGTTGTAGTTTTGTGAACGCCAGTCACGGTCGAATCTGAAGCTCTAGCCCAAGCACAGAATCTTACCCGTGTCCTGGTCTTCTGGACCGCAGGCAGAGAGTTCTAGCTAGCACGTATGTCAGCCAGTCGGTCCGGCGTGGCTGGAATCCCCGGCGCGTTGCGTGATTCCTCTCGGTATTCGCCGTTCGCCTCCTCCGCTCCACTCGCGAAGAGACGGCGCAGAGGCGCGCGCAGCCCGGCCGCTAGCGTCAAACGGGGCGAGTCCCCGTCGCGGAATCAGGGCCCCGGCGGCG